CCTCCCGCTCCCTCCCTCTCCCACACAGGCTTCTGTCTGGCCCCTTAGGGGCATCTGAGAGTGATGGGGGGAGTGGGCAGCAGGGTGTCATTTCTCCGCATGATCCCCTAGGGAACCCTTTCTCCCCAGCCTCACCCTTCCAGGAAGCTTCAAGTATTAATCGAAAGACTCCCCCACCCCAGTAATTATTAAGGCAAGATAGCTAAAGATCCAGTGTTAATTTGGCTTTAGATTATTCTAGCAAGTCAGTGTGGGGGTTTATAGATTGTTTGAGCCTCTTGGTCCTTGTGAAGCTCTCTCGTTGTCGAGGGAGCTTGTGGAGCAGAATTGCTTTACGGCTTTGCTTGGTTATGATTAAGGGAAAGTGCGGAGAGAAGGAGTTTATGACACGGGAGCCAAATGCCACGAATGTACGCTGTGGGGTAGCACGGGCTCTGCTTCGGTTCTTACCTTCTTAGATAGGTCGAAGGGTGTTACTCACAGAAGCGGCGAAGCGGGTTACGGAACAGTGTGGGCGGGTGATTTCATCAAAGGAAACCCTCTGCTTTTGTGTCTTCTAGAATGTCGTTCTCTCAGGAGGCTCCACAATGTTCAGGGACTTCGGACGTCGACTGCAGAGAGATTTGAAACGAGTGGTTGATGCCAGGCTGAGACTCAGCGAAGAGCTCAGCGGTGGCCGGATCAAGGTAGGAGGCATCTCCGGGCCCCGAGCATGCCTGGCTGTGCCCCCTCCCACAGAGCCCGAGGAGCCGGCTGGCTGGCTGGGGAGCCCGCACCAGGGTTCAAGTCCCTTCCCCAGCCGCACCGTGAGATCACACTCGAGGGTCGCTGCTGCCGAACTCATCCCAAGAGTGTCGTTAAGGCTGGTGTCCCTACTGGGGTGGCACCAACCACTTCGTGACCCACCCCTGCCGGCGCTTTCTCTGTGATGACCAGGATCTACGGGGTTGGGACCAGTTGACAGCGAGGGTCTTTTATGTTTTTTTGGAGGTGTTCTCACGAAACTAAAGTAAGCACCCTTAGCGGGGAGTCTCGGTGTGTTACCCAAAGGTAATCATCGACGAGCTGCTGAGTTTCCCTGGGCTTCCGGGCAGGGCAGGGCCTCGGTGTAGACGGGACCAAATGCACACCCTCTGGCCTGGTGGAGTGACTGGTGGCAGATCTCTCACGGTGTTTTCGGGACGCTTGGCATTAGTTCTGTGATGCTGAAACATCTAATTTGTTTAGTAAAAAAAAAATCAACTGGGTTAGTTGCTTGGATTTCTTACTGTTTCAAACGCCTTTAGTTTTGTGAAAGATAACCCTTCCTTGATGTGGGCGCTTTGTTCTCTGCACCATCCCCGCTGGGGGCTGGGGCTGGGGGCTGGGTGCGTTTGGCCGAGACCCTTCCTGTCAGAGGCTGTGCGTGGCCGATGCCACCACCGAGGCACTAGAACATCGGGGATGGGCCTCGAGCTGTCAGCTGGGAGGAGGCCCCTCAACAGTCAGCACTCAGGGTGGAGCTGTCCTCTTGCCTGCTGAGCGGTTGCTGGGTGACCAGTCGACCGCCCTGGCGACTCAACGTCCCTTACTCTCTTTCGCAGCCTAAGCCCGTGGAGGTGCAGGTGATAACGCATCATATGCAGCGCTATGCGGTGTGGTTTGGAGGCTCGATGCTGGCCTCAACTGTAAGTCCTTTTCTAGATTGTTGTCTGTTTTCATTTCTGCGTTCTCTGTCGAGTTGGGATGCACGTTGCCCTGTGAAGGTTAAATAGTGCGTGGCTCTCAACAGTTGCACTTTTAATTCTGTGACGTATAAGAACCGTCTTAATGGTAACGTCCATCGCACGGCTAATCCTTCCTAATTAGGGCTTGCAGACAGTGTGGGTAAGCGGGATCCCAAAATAACCTCGATTCCCATGACTGCCCCAAGTAGTTTTTACTCTCCTCCTCACTCTGTGACGAGCCAGTGAGTCGCCAGTGTAGGGTGGCCCGCGGTTGGTTCGAGAGGAGGGTGAACACGTTCAAGAACCGAAGTGACCTCCGTCCGTAGTCGGGCCTCAGAGGGCGAGAACCTCACCACCGGGGTCTCCTTTGCGTGACGGTTTACTAGTCCTGTTTCTTTCCGGAAGGTGTCTGTACCGCTCCTAACTGCTGCCTCCCCTAGCCCGAGTTCTTTCAGGTGTGCCACACCAAGAAGGACTACGAGGAGTATGGCCCCAGCATCTGCCGCCACAACCCCGTCTTCGGAGTCATGTCCTAGTGTTCGCGTCGACGGCGTCTTCCGGTCACGCGGCGCCGGGCTGAGACCGCAGCTCCTGTACATACTGGCGTCCAGTGTCGATGTGGAGAAGCGTGCTTGCGTCGCCGAATGCATGAGGCGGTTCCGTGCACGCCCCCCGTGTGCCCGCCGTCCGACGGCCGCCCTCCCTCCCCGCGCCCTCCCCGCCTCCCCGCCTCCCCGCCTCCGAGCTTCTAGTCCGCGGAGAATTCTGAAGGAATTCACCTGCGACTTTAAAAATGGTGAGGAAATCCCCCCAGAAGATGGCGCAAACTGGTCCCCGCGGGAAAGAATATGGGGCTGCACCCCCTTTTCCTCCCGGCCTATTTTTGTAAATAAAACGTTATAAACTTGAAATACAAATTGATGTTTATATTTCCTATTATTTTGTATTTCCTGGTATTTGGTACAACTGGCCGAGCCTAAGCACGAATAGATTTTGGTGTCTTGGAGTTGCTGTAAAAACGTTTCTACTTGTGAGGCATGTTCTGATGTGTCTGTAGGCAAACAAAACAAAGCAGCAAACTTTTTTGCCACATGTTTGCTAGAAAACGATCACGCTTTATTGGCGTCACATGAAGTTTCAACACTAAACGCTGTTGTACGAGAATCATTACAGATAATGTATCTCTTCATTTTCCTGTTTGACCTTTCTGGAACTGTTTTATAGAAGACGCTGGTTTGCCGTTGGAGTGTTGGATGAAATGCTACCGTGCACCGTTGTAATAAAAGCGGTTAGACTCTTTATACAGATTTCCTGTCGTGCTGTGCTGGTCTTTCCGTTTCCCCTTTGGGCTCATGCTTGTTCCAAAGGGTGTTGCGGTTTGTCTCCCATCACCGGAGGATTTGGTGATCGGTACCAAGTCCGCGGAAGGACGTTTCCCAAAATGACGGGGACCGCCTGCCATCAGTGGCCACTCCGTCACCAGCGGCGCTCCGGATGCTCACGTGAGGGGCTCTGGATGCGGGGCGGGGAGGGTGCTTCTGCGGATTTCCAGCATCCCTTCCTTGGAACCCAGGACTCACCGCTGAGCTTTGAGTGGTTGCTCTGACGTTTGCTGAGTAGGTTGCTGGCTTAAAAGGTACTTGGCAAAAGTAAGAGATGTAGTGTTGCCCCGTTCTTCATGTAATACGTTCCGTGTGACACCCTTACGGTACTTCTTCTAAGTCACGAAGTAGGTTTTATTCTCTGAAACTTAGCCTTCATAAAGAAACATTTAGTTTTATTATTTAAGTTTAGAAACGAGGTTGAGAACAGCAGTAAGTTCCCAGCGTGGTGAAATCTGAGTTTCCTCTGCCCGAGGCCGTCCCTGCCTGGTTCCTCCCATCCAAGTACTAACCAGGCCCGACCCTGCTTAGCTTCCGAGATCGGACGAGATCGGGCGCGTTCAGGGTGGTATGGCCGTAGACCGTCCCTGCCTGGTTCCTGATTAATTGTCAGCGACCCCAGACCCTCGTCTCCTCACTGGGGACTTTCAGACCACTCAGTTCTTACTTTGTCCAAACAAACAGCTTCTCTGCTTTCCCTCTGGGGCCTGCTGCTTCTCAGGACCACCGGTCTCTTCTGGTTTCTTGTTTCTCCAGCCACTCTATCGCACTGAGTCCCGGGCCTCTCTGTCTGCCTTCACGCACACCCATGCGTCCGACACGTGGCAGCAGGAGCGCCACAAGTCCTTCCACGTGGAACTTTGCTAAGCGGGGACCGTGCGTGAACTTCCTTAATCTTAACAACAGCTCTTTGAAATTGGCATCACTGTTATCCCCATTTTCCAGATGGGAAACCGTGGCTGAAAAGAATTCAGTGCGTGCTTACCAGCAGGTAGGAAGCAGAGAAGGCATTACTGATGTAAAGTGTGCTTTCCTGATTCTTGTAAAAGGAGGAGGAGAACTGCGACCAGCCGGGGGAGCGGGGGGTCCAACCCGATGGCGTGAGCCTGTGCAGTGATTTCATGAGATGCTGGAATAAAAAGAGTTTGGAAACAGCCGCAGGAGCTAGAAAACATTCCCCCTCTCATCCACATCCCTTGGTATGGAATGTGTTCTAGGAAGCTACTGACACAGGATTTATAGCATGTTTTGATGTTGCATTATTTTCATTTTTGTCCGTAACGTTTTGCTCATGTTTCTTTTTTTTTTT